CCTCAATGGAGCTTTTCACTAAGTGAGTGTTCATGTTTCTTATGGTTATAAGTCTTTTGATTAGTTAAGCTCTATTCTTACTTGTTTGTGGGTTTGTCGTTCGTCCTCGTGGCGGATACTCTAGTAGAGGGCCCTGATAAAGATGGATAACCCTGCGCAACACTAGAGTAGTAGTCGATAGCGTAGACATGGTGTCTAGGCTAGAGGCTACCTTCGTTTGCCTCGTATCCTCCGGTTGAGGGGTAGGCGGTAGGTGGTGACAGCCATGTCCGTCCTTCGTAATCCCCTACATTCGGATACGGCGTAGAGCCGTATGCTGGTGTCACCTGGTAGACCAGGTAAGCTTCGGTGCCCGAAGTAAGCAAGTGAAAGTAGAGTTTACCTGTCCTTAGACCCAAAAGCCATAGGAATCCATTTCTACCATTTCCAACTTTACCCTTGTGTTGTCATTGGACGAATTAGCTAGAAGAAGTACCTCCATTCCCTGTGGAAAATACGATACCCTGAATGCTTCTGGGTGAAAGCTAAAATGGTAATTCCGTGCGCTTGCGGAATCTTTCTGCATTCGTTAAGAAATACCAACGGTGACTTTGGTGAGGTTACCTTTGGATCCGCAACGATCGGCTGAGATCAGGCCCTAGGGACGTTGACTTGTCCTAGACTTCCCGATCTTGGGCCAGCAGATCTGGATCCTTGCAGGCTGCAACCTAGATTGCAGGTTCCCTAGTTAGATTCTCTCACATCAGAGATGGCAAGGTAGGGTGGGTGCTAGCCTAGCGGCCGAGCTTAAATAGGATTTAAGAAGGGGCCAACAATATTTAAGTTCTTTCAAGTGTGCAAATTTCTAAGACTCCTTAAGCATTAACCATAAACATCATTAAGAAAAATCAATGCCAAGAGGGGGCCATGACCCACTCTGGCCTCTATGTAGCTCCACCTGTGGTGCTAGGCATAACTAGGGAATCCAGAGGCTACTCAGGTTCGACGGTGGCGGCCACATATGTGAACACATGGCACCGATGACCCGGTGGCAGATACATTTCGGTGTGGTTGGGGCCTCCCCTTTGCCGCTTTGCACCTTTGACATGTGGCTGCATTCGCCTATTGCGCCCCTATGTGCTTGGGGTTTGCATAGTAGCAGGAGACGTGGGATGGCAAGCGTCCTCCCTTGCGTCAAGTAATGCTTTTCTTGGGATAGTTGTGATGGTTGTGTATAGTGTTGTTCACATACCATGTGCCTATGTGGGTTGTGCTTCTTTGTGCGGTGTGAAGTGGATGGTGCTAGCAGAAAGCCTTGTTTTGGCTAGTTCCAGTAAAATGTTTTGCATTCAAAAAAGTTTATGTAACATCTTCACATCAATTTCTCCTAATAGTTGTGCTTAAATTGTATGCTACATCATTGAATAACTTATGAACACTAACAATTTTTTAAATAAAATGGCAAAGGACAAGGACACGTGGCACGCTACTATGATGAAACGTGGCAGAACCAGAGAGGGACACGTGGTGACCTGTGATAGGATAAGTGGCAAGATTATATCATGCTGATGCTAACGGTGTGGATTGGCTGACAGATGAGGCCCACAGTAGATCACACAATCAATGGTTAACGTTGACCGTTGACTTGGCCAACACTAGGTCTGGTTTCGATGAGTGGGGCGCACTAGTAGACCCATACATGCCGTAGCTGCCACGTGTCCAGTTTCATCCAACAGCGCACACGTGCTCGGCTCCCGCGTCTAGGCTCTCTCGTACATGATTGGCGGCCCGCGGGCGTCGCATGTAGTTGGTCGGCAGCTTTCGCCCTGTTCGTTTGGGCTTGTTTGGCTGATAAGTCATGGCTGAAAGTACTGTTGGCTGATTTGGTGTGAGAGAAAAAAAACTGTTCGCTGGCTAAAAAAATACGGCTTATAAGCCAAACACGACCAAACGAACAAGCTGTTTATATGGCGTGGATGGCAGTTTGCATAGACTGTGTGTGCATCCAGTATGAACTGGATTTTTTTTTTCCATTGGGACGTGGCTACTCAGCGCTGGTGCTGATGCGTCCCAGTTCGGTTCGTTCTTGCTGGGTCCAACGTGGTACTGTTGCTGTTTGCTGGCTTGGGCTGATGTCTGGCTTGGGCTGGACCAGAAACAGGTCTAACGGGCGGATCTGGTGGCCGCATGCCATCCGCTCGGCAATATGCCGGGCCGCCGGGGCGACGGCATGGTGTACATGCCGCGCACGGCGCACGGGGATGCTGGTGCACCCGTATTCGCTAGTCCGCGACGTCGTGGCGCCGCCGCCGGGCGGGACGATGCCACGACGGCGGCCGTGCCTTCGCTGGTCGGCTACAGGGAAGAGAGAAGAAAGGCGACGCCGAATATTAAGTTTTCTTAACTTTGGACACCTCTGGTAGTCTAGGAAAAAGGAAACTCCGATCTGCATTCCAAAAGAAACTCACGAAAGTCCGAGCTGGTGGGACCCATGGACGGTCGCGATCGAGTCGATGTCCCATCGCACGGCAAGTCGGCAACCCGGCCGTGTCCTCCAAGACTCCGCCTTCCGCGCGACCCGAGCGGCCGAGCCCGACCGCCGCGACCGCTTATATATATCCACGCCCCCCGCGCGCGGCCGTGAAATCACTCCACAACTTCCGCTACACCTTCAATTGAATCCTCAATCCGAACAAATCCAAGGAGCTAGCGGGGCGATCCCGACCGTCGCGGGCGGAACCCTATCCCTACTACCTCCACCCTCTCATGGCGGCGACAGCCGTGGCAAGCCGGAAGCGAGGGACGGCCGCCGCCTTCCTCGACGACCCCTTCTCGTTCCCCGCCGCCGACCTGCCTCTCCTGCAGACCAAGCGCGGCCGGTGCTCGTCGTCGATTGTTGCCGCCGACCTCGGCCTCAGCTTCCCGCTCGAGTTCGACCCGGTCGAGGCGCTCCATCTCATCTTCCCCGGCGAGGATCCGCAGGTGCGTCCATGTACGTACGTGTGCGTTTAATTTATTTGATACATGGATTGTTTATATTAGTCCTAATAATCAATCACGGCGAACAGGCTTAGAGTACGCCGATAGGCCAGAGGTCAAGCCAATGAGGTCCTGCCATTAGCTACCGTGATATATAAATAAACTTGATTTCGAAAATTCTGTCCTCTTTTGGAGTTCAGTCGATGCATCGAACATAAATTGGTGTCCTTACCAATTGGTACTACAGTACTGTACCAATGAATATCTTCAGTCATGTGTTTTCTTATCCTACACAAATTAGTATTAGTTAGGATTTGTGCACCTAAAATCATTTTTTCCGTTAATTTACAGGTTCTACAAAACTATTTACAAGCGTCAGGAGATGTCTTGGATGCTGCAATCAGAGCATACAAAGATTATTTGGCAGAAAGAAGCACAGAATCTGCTTCTGCCATGAACCATGTTCCATCTGACAACGAGGAAGGCGATAGCATCCTATCTGAATCCGATGGTATGCGGCCATGTTTAATATCTCAACATACTTTCATGCAACCAAATTTATTTAATCATTTAAAATCAGCTACCGTTAACATAAACCTTACTGCATCAATGGCTATTTCAGTTGACCTGATAGTGGAAACCATTCCCACCAATTGCTCTGGATGGGCAGAGCTCATTGTCAAGGAGATGTCCTCTGCTTCAGATTTGACTGATGCCAAGAATCGCGCCTTCAAGATACTCAACCTGTTGGAAAAATCTGCTGCTAGTAGTAGCCCAGATGAAAAAAGCAAATTGAACAAGGTATCAAGATTGCCTAAAGTTAAATACTTCTTTATTGTATTATTATGAACCATGTTTAATAATGCTTATAGTTCTCCTTCCTCCCAAGCTGACCTGAATTTTTGTTGTCAATCCAGGAGCACAAGATAGTGAAGCAGATGCTGGGATCCCTGCTTCACCAGAACGGCGTTCTGAAGCGTGCATTCCTCATACAGCACAACCGACTCAAGGAGTATCAAGAGATGGTGCAGGAGCGATCTCAATTCAACCAGATTCTCGAGAAGTACCAGAAGCAGATCAAGTCGTTAGAGGTAGGTTCTGTGAAATCATTGCTATAATGCTTAACCTGTATTTTATCTACCTACTCTAACCTTCTCATCCTTACCATCCAGGAGAAGAACAATGCCTTGTCATTTCATCTTCAAAATGTGAACCAATGCAGAAACACCTATTGGCATCGCAATCCAGATGTCTTCTAATCGATACGGTTGTCAGAAAGGACATGTCCTCTAATCACTACATACTGCTGCTACAACTTACGAGTCAAGCTTGGAGCTTAATCCACAAGATCCTGAAACTGCAAAATATATTTTCTCTCTCTTCCATCGAAGGAGAAAGACGATCAAAGACAGGCCATGTCCATGTGGTGTTGCAATTAGTTTATGTTAAGATTGTCTGTAGAGGGAGATAATCAAAGGACATGTTCATGTGTTATTGCAATTAGTTTGTGTTAGTCTGGATTCTCTTTAGATTATAGTTGCTCTTGATGTAAGCGAGCAAAATTTGACGGAGTTCAAACATTCATGTACGATTTGTTTTAATTTATCGATCGAATCGAGACTGTTCCCCATCAAAGCTCCCCCTAACTGAGAAAGGATTTACTCCCAGTCCCAGATATGATTTGTTGAGAATTGGTACTAACAGCACCATTGGAAATGTTTTGATGGGCGCTTGTGGGTTTCGAATTACAGCTAGCAACCAACTAAAGCACCTTTAGCATTGGAGCGCATAATAAACAATTTGTATTTTTATTCAACATTGCTCTATCTTCTCCGTGCACGCATTATTTACCACATTGCTTCTAGATCTGAATGCAAATCTCCATATTATATAGTTCACTCGCCATTCACCTGCTCCTCCACGCGGCATCTCATTTCATGGAATTTTGTTTTGCCGACTTGAATCGTCTATGCACTACACTTAGAATGAACTCTACTATGTACTACTTACCTCGAGGAACAATCAGATATGCAACCCAAATCATGGACCAAGAACTCGAACCATCCTACCATTACTTCTTCTGGGCAGCGATCCTGCTGCTGCCGCTCCTCGCCGTCAAGCTCCGGCGGCGCAAACACGGCTATAAACCACCTCCCGGCCCATGGCAGCTCCCGGTCATCGGCAGCCTTCACCACCTCGTGGGCGCGCTCCCGCACCGCGCCATGCGTGACCTGGCGAGGCGGCACGGCCCGCTCATGCTGCTCCGCCTGGGCGAGCTCCCCGTCGTCGTGGCGTCGTCGCCCGACGCGGCCCGGGAGGTCATGAGGACACACGACGCCGCGTTCGCGACGCGGCCCCGGACCGCCACCCTCAGGGAGCTCACCCGGGACGGCCTCGGCGTCGCGTTCGCGCCGCACGGCGAGCACTGGCGCCAGCTCTGCAAGCTCTGCGTCACCGAGCTGCTCAGCGCGCGGCACGTGCGGTCCCTCCGCGGTGGGCGCGAGGCCGAGGCCGCCAGCCTCGTCGCGTCCGTCGCATCGTCGTCGTCGTCGTCCAAGCCCGTGAACGTCAGCGCCCTCCTCGCCTCGTACGTCACCGACGCGGTCGTGCGCGCCGTGGTGGGCGGCCAGATCAGGGACCGCGACGCGTTCCTGGAGAAGCTGGACGAGGGCGTCAGGGTGGCCGCGGGGTTCAGCCTCGCCGACGTGTTCCCATCGTCCAGGCTCGCGCGAGCGTTCAGCGGGGCGCGCGCCGCAGAAGCGCACCACCGCGAGATGACACGGCTCATGGACGGCGTCATCGCGGAGCACCAGGAGAGGCGGGCGGCCGGTGCTGGAAACGACGAGGACGACCTCCTAGACGTGCTGCTGAGGATCCAGAAGGACGGCGGCCTGCAGGTCTCCCTCGACATGGGCATCATCCGCGCCGTGATCATCGTAAGCTCAGCACTTAGGATCTTTTCAGCGCGGGGAGCGAGACGACGTCGACGACGCTGCAGTGGGCCATGGCTGAGCTGATGCGGCACCCGGCGGCGCTGCGCAAGGCGCAGGCCGAAGTGCGTCGCGTGCTCGCCGGCTAAAACCGCGTGCCGGAGGACGCTCTGCCAAAGATGCATTACCTGCAGCTGGTCATTAAGGAGACTCTGCGTCTGCACGCTGCAGTGCCGCTGCTTCTCCCGCGTGAGTGCCAGGAGGAGACGCGCGGCGTCCTCGGGTACGACGTGCCCAGGGGTCAAGCTTGGGCGATCGGCCGGGACGCCGCGAGCTGGGGCCCCGACGAGTTCAGGCCGGAGAGGTTCGAGGACGGCGGCTCCAGGGCGGAGGTGGACTTCAGGGGCACGGACTTCGAGTTCGTGCCGTTCGGCGCCGGACGCAGGATCTGCCCCGGCATAGCGCTTGACCTCGCCGTCATGGAGCTCGGTCTCGCTAGCCTCCTCTTCCACTTCGACTGGGCGCTCCCCGGTGGCGCTGCGCCGGAGGAGCTGGGCATGGCCGAAGGGCTCGGGATCACGGCGAGGAGGAAGAACGACCTGTGGCTGCAAGCCACCGTACGCGTTCCTGTTCATAATGTGTAGATTTTTCTGAATGCTTTTGGGATTTGGGAGTAGAGGTGAAGGTTTCATGCTATTATTATTAAAAAAAGGCTGACTAAGAGGGTATTTGTTTCAAATTCCTGATAAAAGATTCAACCTGTTAAAGATGAAGATAAAACAAACACACCAACTCTTATAATCGATACAAGAATACAAATGCCACATCTACCAAATACCAATATACTTCTTCCAATTCAGTGTATAAGGCGCACAATCTTTGACCAATAGTTTGGTCAAAACAAAATGTAACTATTGTAATACAAATTTGATACTAATAGATGAATACCTTGCATATTGCCGCGGGATTTGCATGGATCACCACTATACAGGAATGTGCACAAAAGAAAATCCAAAAACTATTGCTAACAAGATGAAATCAAATTTTATGATATATTTAATGATACTCTACAGTATATATGATGGATGGTGACATCATTTTCTTAGATAATTTGATGGGAACGATGTACATGATCCTGAAGATTTAATAATGCTACTTGGCATGACTTTTTTTTATTTACTTATTAGGGTGAAAGTGAAGAGAGGAGATAAGGAAAACAGAACTAAAAATTTAATATTGCAGGCATAGTCCTACCTGTGCATATCAGTTGCCATTGTATAATCTTCCTGTCAAGCATGACTGCTAGTAAGCAATTGGTGATTTTCAGTTTCCATGGATTTGCATGCTGCCTGTTGAGCTATGCGTGGAATTAAAGAACATCAAAGAAAGGCCATGCATTTGGTTGGCCCAGTGGTGGAGATCGAAGCAATTTACATGCTGTCCTATTCTTGTATGCGTTAGCCTGTCTCCAGCTGCGGAACCCAAATCCAAAATGGGCCTCTAACACAATACATATAGCCTCCAACAGAATACCTATATGAAAGACTAATTTAAAATGTCAGGAGAGGCATAACCTAAATCTGAGTATCCTCTCTTCTGAAGACCCATTTGCAGAAAGGATTGTCTTTTGGATCTTATTGCTGAAGAAGATCAAAAATAGGTATTGAAATATTTGCATGTACCAATATCGAAAAGACGAATGGTTGCGAATGCCTGCCATGGGGATAAGGCTGTCAGTTTAGCTTCCTGGCGCGGGCTCTTGTTGGCCTAGTGGTGACGGTAGAAGTGGAGTAGGCGTTGCTGCATCAACGTAGGTGGACAGAAGTGGGCCCTAGATGGTGATGTGGCTTCATAAGACGGTGGCGAGGCTCTACTGATGAGCTGGGCTCACGAAATCACAAAGAAATATAGTAGTAGAGTTTTACTTTATAAGAGTATAAAATTAGATTAGATTTGCAATTAAATATAATATCCAATAATCATAAGTTTATAATTATAGGCAATACAATATAAAATAAATAAATAAATAGTTAAAATGTAATTTAAGAGATCGTATCATATCATATTACGTCTTGTAAACCAAATCATATGGAGTATCTAAGTCTAAATGAAGGTGGCTAAGGATTATTTTTAACATTCTCACTAGGTTTATATATCACAAAACTCTACACATCCAAATCAAATTCAAAGCAAGGATGCCAAACTCACATTGGAATCAATTTTAAAACGAAGGTGGTTGGTGATTATGTGGATTATTTAAGACAGATGGCTTATATTTGAATTTATTTAGAGAATAAGCTTTTACATAATTCAATCCATATGTGAGAGCATATTTTAAGAAGCTCTACATATGAAGTTATTTGCTAAACGATTTACTAAAATAGCTCTAGCTCACCCAATCAGAGCTGAAGCCGAAGAAACGGCTTCACCGGTGAAGTGAAGTTGTGCATAACGGGACCTTAGCTTGTAAGAACTTGGCTAAGTGCAGTCGTAGGGAGCAAACTTTTTTCCATTTTCTAAAAAAAAAAAAAACTGACCTACAACGAGGTATAGTAATCTTTCAGTGACGAATATATTAGCCATGGATCAAATAAACCAAACACGGAAAAGTGGAAACACAATATATTTGGTGGCCAATTGCATGAAAGCAACACGTTTAAATCAAACCGTAACTTGAAAATTTTGGACCCATGGGCGGTGAATCCACTTATCCCGTATCCCCATTTCTGGGGCAGTTGGTAAAACAGAATATCTTCATAGGTATTAATCTGGGGCAGACCGTTCAGCAGCTATGCTTTAGAAGACATCCGGGTTGAAACGCCCAGGTATGGAGCTGTTCTGCTGAGCCTGCTTGAGGTGCATTGTGAGGGCATAGTTGTTTATCTGCAAATGTATGGTCACAGACACCAAACGTTTCTTCAGTTGATATATCACACAGGAAAAGAAGCATAGTTGAAGACAGGACTAGGAATATCACCTCTAGAGTCCTAACTTGCTCCTGGTACTGCAAAACAAGTTGCTTCAAGCTCTGGACCTCGTGCGACCTCTCGTCAAACTCCTTTTGGTGCTCATGTTGAATGGCAACTGCCCGCTTCAGCACAGCATTCTCTCGCAGAACAACAGTCAGTTGCTCCTTGAGCATCATGTTTTCCTATACCACAAAGGAAAATCAATCACTATTATCATTCTGCAAATTAGTCAATACTACAGGGAACCAAAAGTTGTAGTGAGTGACGCATGGGTACCTTATGCAGGTTCTGTGTAGCTTCAGCTCCTGCACGCTCTACAATCGATTTCTCCAAAGCCTCCAAAGCTCTTGATGCACGAGCCCGTGCATCATCTATGTCAGAAGCATTTGTCATCTCTCTGACAAATATCTCGACCCATTCAGAGCCATTATTACTTGTCTGGTAATTATCTACAGTAGGCGGATGTTCTGTAGCCGTATCCACGCCACCATTAGGAATACCTGCAAGGAATGCAAAATTGATGCTACCGTCAGCAATACAATCTGGAAACTGCTTCATTGCTTTCCAAAAAAAAAATATAACACGTTAGAAAATAGAGTGATTGGTTTGAGGAATCACTCTATTCTAGATGAGGTGGTGCATCATAAGCCCATTCCTCAAATTTGGTGGAATGACTTCATTCCTCATAGTAGTAATTATTATAGCTTGTGAGGAATGAGATGATGATGGATCAGCTCATTCCATTCCACAAACCAAACAAAAAGTGAGGAATGAGAAGATGATGGACTAACTCATCCCTCAAACCAAACACCCAATTACTATGGTAGTAACACTATCCTAGATGACACAAATTCCAATTACCACCAAATACAACGCGGGATTGATGTCATATCAGGATGAAGTTATAAGCAAAGCCAGAGACAATGTAGGATATTTGATGATCCAATTCTACATATAATTAATTCCATACCAAAATCGGATACAAATATGTGTTTAAATTGAACAGCTTATGACAGTGTAGATATATAACAGTAACAAATTTATGAATTAAGAAAACCTGAAATAATGAAATAATATAGCTCTGAATAAAATTGGTGGACAAATTCAATTGGGCACCAAGAACCACACTCCCATTGAATCATTGACAGGTGACTATTATAAGTACAGCTAGAACTACATGGATGAGGATGCATAACTGTTGCTATATGAATGCATCCAGGGAAAGCAGTAGTCTCTGGTACAAAACTAACCTTCAACGGAAGGCTGAATTGCTGTATGCTGACCATTTTCTGCTGACTCTAAACGCAGCAAATTCAAACTCTTTATTGCAGAATCCAAGTCATCTCCAGATGCTTCCAGAGCTTTTTCAAGCAACTACAGTTATTTAGAGCAAGCATAGTTAGCTGTGTCACATATGTTATATTAGAAGGTAGAGTAAATGAGGAACTAGCTCATACTGCATAGAAGTAATTCAATCTATCAGGATCCAACAGGAGGTTAAATTTCCATCTATGAAGGAAATCCTGTATATTCAATAAATTCATTTTGTGTACTTACTGGGGACATCACAGGCTCGGACTGGCTACAATACACAACTTGCATAGCTACCACAGAAAGGAGCCACAAAAACTACAGCACATCCATCTCTCGGCGACCATCCTTTTTGCATAGTTAATAAAACCATCCTTTGCATAGTTAATAAAACAGATACAGGTTAACAGTAAATGAAATCCTATGAAACAGACCATTTCTTCCATTGCCAATATGTTTGAAATAAAATCAAATGTAAAAGAGGTAGGACATGCTACAATTCAATACAGGTTACAGCCTGTTCGGCAGCCTGTCGGCAGCCCATATCTGGCTTGGCTTATCAGCCAGCCAATAGTGTTTTTCTCTCACACCAAACCAGCCAGCGGTACTTTCAGCCCATGGCTTATAAGCCAATCCAGCCGAAACGAACAGGCTAAGCAAGCATATAAGCATGGTAGGATAATACAACGACAACTGAGAGACATCTAGATTCATATCAAGCGTGGCAGTAAACGAAACTAATTCACTGAGAAGAGCCCTATCCGATTTCACACCCAAGGACAGATCGGAAATTACACTGGGATCGCATATTTACGGACAGAGAACAACAAATCCTCGTCGGCTTACCACCAAAAAAAATGGTGGCACTAGTAAATCGTAGAAGGGAGCAAAAATCACATCTTGTGATTTACCACCACCGACGGGGAAATGGGACGGGAGGAAATCAGGAAAGGATAAAGTGAGGCGGCGGTGGAGGCAGACCTGGGGATCCATGTCGGGGAAGAGTGCAAGTAGATGGTGGACGAGCGCCTCCCGTCGGCGTCCGTCGGAGCCGCCGCCGCCGCGGTGCGAGGGGGAGCGGCGGGACCGCTTGGCCGCCGGCTGGTGGGAGGAGGAGTGAGGGGAGGGAGGGGACGGCGGGAGGAGCTCGTCGGCGAAGATGGAGGAGGACCTCTTGCCACAGACTACCGCAGACATGGTGCCGCCGCCCTCCCGCGCCGCCGCCGCTGCCTCGTCGCGCTGCCGCAGCCGATCCCCGCCGCCGCCGTCGCCCTACTCCCCGCCGCCGCGGGACATCCGGCAGACAGACGCCTCTCCCCCTCCCCTCCCCCACGCGATCCGCAGCAGCTGGGCCTCGACCGCCGGTCCCGGGTCCCGGTCCCCCCAACCTCCGGCCTCCGCGCCCTGGTCGCCGCCGCGACGGTGCTGGTGGGTCCTGATTGGTCTGGTCCGGTTCTGACGGGCTGATGGGTTGGGTTGTTGGGTTCCTGACGCCTTCGTCCTCGCAGTCGCAAGGGTTATTTCTATGGGGTTTATCGCGCACTTTGCCTTCTTCTCCCCTCTCTCGTTTTACGTGTTCCCGTTGGCGTCTCGCTGCGTGTGATGTGCGCGTCCTTTTTTCGGCGGTGGAACGTGAGTGCGTGTGCGTCCACACCGCTGCTTTTGCTGTGCGCTGTTTGGCCGACAGGTGGGCCCGGATTGGACTTTTTGCCTTACTACCGGCGGTCCCACTCGCGTGCTTTTTCGTGAAAGTGGTCTAGAAAATTGTGATGTTAATATAGAGAGTGCCTCCCTCGCCAAAAGCAAAAGCCATTTGGCTCATCAAGCCATATATGACTCTGTTATCCATGCCAATTTCTGCATGATTTGTTTTAAGGACCACGGATAAGATACGAAAAAACGACATATGGATATTGGATCTATGGACGCAAGAATTCAATGAAAATATACAGAACGAATTTCACAGGAATCTGGAAATTTTCACCTTCCCAGCCCAGGCTATTTTGAATGGTCGAGCACACGCTTTTAAACGTGGAACACTCCTTTAAACAATATATATATATATATATATATATATATATATATATATATATATATATATATATATATATATATATATATATATATATATATATACACACACGCCGCGCTATTCTACACCCTAGATGTAGAATAATAGCCAAAACTGACTAGAAAAAATACTAAGTAGTACTGAACTGTGTTTAGGATCACTCAGTACTACACCCAGCACCACGAAATACTGAACAATACTAAAACGCGACTACTGAACGATATTGAATTCTAGCAGTTTGGTGTAGAATAGTATTCTACACCTATGGTGTAGAATAGCACGTGTGTGTCTGCCTTTTGCCTTTGACTCACGAACTCGAGTCAGACTCATTCACGGCTGACTTTTGAGTTTTGAGGATCGTTCGCTCTTCACTCTCTTGCTATTACCCACAGGGAGCGCAGCAGTCTTCCCAGTCAAGCGCAGCTTCCGTTAGGTTTCGTTCAGGCTCGCTCTCGTTCTGAGGTGGATTCGAACCACTCTGTTAGGATTTGGAGTCCAACGCGCTAAGCAAAAGAGGATTTTCAGTCCTATGCTCTAACCAGCCAGAACAAAAAAGGAGGAGATTGGGTGACTGAACACCCACACAATCTCGATTTGTAAAGTCTCATGATCGTATCAAGATCTATTTAAATTATGTATATATATATATATATATAACATTCATAACTATTCCGTCCACATGTGCGACATCAAAGCCGCTCAATGCGATCAGATCAGGAAGGCAACGTGCACTCGCTCCATGCGATCAGCTCAATCCCCATAACCGCAGCAAATCAGGAAGGCAAAAATCAATTTCCGTAACAATCGTGATCAATTCCGCGATCACCCCATGCCGCCAATCACGCGAGACCGCGCCCGTCACCGCGACCGCGACCTCCACGGCACTCTGCGATCGCATGGCACCGCGTCCTCACCCCTCGTGCTCGCCTCTCGCCTCGCGCCACCTTCGCCATCGCGCACACGCCGTCTCGCCGATCAACGCCATCGTTCAATCGCGCTACCGCCCACGTCCTCGCCCGCCCGCGGCGCGTCTTGTCCCGTCGTGCCGTCGCCGCCGCGCCCGCGCCTCGCCGCCGCCGCGCATTTGGCGTACCACATCGCCACGACGCCGAGCTAGCGACGAGCACCCACCAGGTACGTAACTAGGACCCTATATCCCCATCTGTCTTCCCTTCCAGCTATGCGAAACGGAACACCCAAACCCAAATCCTAACAGCATGTGGGCAAAGACGACCACGGCTAATCCTAGTAGAAGCACACGGACGACGACAACCAGCGGAGCCGTCGCCGAATCGCCCCGCTCAAGTCTCCGTGGCGCCGCGCCCTCCCCATTGACGCTGCTGCTTTGCACCGCCGCGGGCTCAAGTCTCCACCGCCGCTGACACACGCCAGGCACGCGGAATTAGGACGCCGCTCCGATGTCCATTGCAACAGATTGTTGATCTCGTCACCTGCAGTCCATGGAGCCTGCAATAGATTAGTGATCATGGCGAGCGGCCGAGCTCCTTAGCGTGAACCACCAGCCCACCACTACCAGCTGGGCAGCACAAGCATCACGTCTGCGAACTCCTGCGCCGCACTGCCATTGCTAGGCATGAGCTCGCTCCGGGGAACAGCCAGTCCCAGCCTTGCTTCTCTGCCCTTGGTAAGACATAGGTGAGCTTCCCCGCACCCCTGCGCTCCTTCTCCATGCACGCGCGCGCAAGGCACACTGCGTAACCGCAAGCTCGCGTTGCTGGGAAATGGCCGCCGAGCACTGGTCGTGCTCTGTTCCATGCTCTGCTTTGCACGAGCGTTCCTAGCTTGTTAGCTTGATGACATCAGGATGACATGTCCACACTTTCTTGTCGTTTTCCTTCAGAAGAATAAAAGAGAAAATACATTGAAAATACAAGGACCCATACCCTTCAGCATGGACTCGGTCCATGGTGGACCGTCCACACACCACACCGTCGATCCATGGTTCATGGACCTGTCAGTGTTTTGTTTTTTATGTGGATATTCTAATAAACATCCTGTTAGTTGTTGATAATTTTCTGATGATGTTTATGAAACTAGAATAGTCTCCCTTTGCATGATCGGTTATCAAGACCATAATGTTTATAATTACATTTTTCATTACACCATGGTCAACTACTCAGCTGGAAGCTAAATGTGCTCCTTTTCTTTTTTTTTTTATCTCTGCAATATGGCAATGCTTTAGATTTAGTGCATTTTGGATAGTTCAGAGTGAGCTCATTTGTTTGAACAAGAACATATGTCGTGTTGTTTGGGTAATTTACAGTGAGTTTGTTTGGTTTTAGTCCATCCATTTTGGTTGGAATTTTGAGCTTTTTGCACTGCCCGATGATTGTCAATTCAGTCCTCATCCTGCCAGGTAAACCACATTTCATTTCTTTTGCCCACAAAATTTGCTCGTACATAGGTATTGGGTATGAAAAAACTAAGTGAAACAAAACTTTTTTTCCTGAACACCTATTGCTATTTACTTGCAAGTTTATACAGTTGCCTTGATGATATGCAAATACGGATCGTTCGTGTCATCTTGATAGGTCCGTTGGGACAGCGGCCACAAACAACACCTAATGATCGAAGCACGATAGAAAACTGGTTGTTGAGGCCTCTCCTTAGGGAAAGGCTCCGATGACTGTAATAAGTCTTCTTTGCTGAAATTGATTTTAATCCAAACTTGTGATCACTGGCAAATTGGTAGTTGTTAATATAACTCATCTGCCCCAACTGTTACAACCACCTCTAAAAAACAAAACATTCAGTCATGCTTTTCTATGATTGGGGATGGGTAAGTTTGAAATCTATGGTGTTGTTTAGATCCTCAATTTTTTTGTTAACTTTTTTAGGTACTAAAGTTACTTTGTTTCGAAGACAAGGAAGTTCGATTCTCTGCCCCTAACCCTTCTAAACCTAAAACAGAGGGAGTTTATACTGAAGATAAAAAAAGGTTCTCGATATATGATCCATTCGCCTTTTGACCATTTTAATGTAATAACCGCACATATTTATATTTTTACCTACTTTTTTCAATCTAACCGGAATCAGAAATTACGTGTTTCAAATGTGTAGAGGTACAGTATTAAACCTATGAGTATTAAACAATTCTCAGACTAATCACATGTACATATGAGTGCATAGGTACATGCATAAAATATTATTTCTAATTTAACAAAATAGAGTATATCATCATTTTGTTTATCGTTTGAGAAAATATGTCATCATTTTGTTTAACTTGCTAGCATGAAATAATTTATAGCCGCTTTGGTTTCACAGTTTATTGTTTACAACTGTAAGAACGATCACATTTTTAGAAGATCGTTATTTCTTTATCTAAAAGACTATTTTCTTTAAAAAAAAGATTGTCTTCATGTATTTTTAGACCTCTTTCCTGCATGGAGCCTAATGAAAATCATAGTTGTCGCATGCCATTGAGAGACTTGTCAAACCAGATAAATGAAGGTATGAAAATTTTAACATCTGATAATTAATGATGTTAAGTCTGTCTTCTAAAAAAAAAGGCGTTGAAAGTGGATCTAATCCACTTACACAAGTCTCCAATCCTCGGGAACTTAAAAGGCAAAGGGACAGAGCAAGGCTTGCGGAGCGTCGTGCGGCAAAATCGAACATTAGGATTCTAGCCGCGCCGGCTGCTGAGAAGGACGTGAACAAGGGAAAGGGAAAGAGAAAGAAGGGGAAGAAGAAAGCGACAAATGATATATTTACAAAGAATATCGTATATAAAGAGATTCTAACTCCATAAAAGAGGTAATGCATCACACGTCGATATATATTTTTTTAGATATCAAATGGTAATTTAACTTTAAAAATTAACAAACAACTTATATGCAGGATACTTCTAACTACAGCTTCAGCCATCTGCATGCTTTAGCTGCAAGAAGTTAGACGTCGCATCTTGGATTAGAAAATCTTCTGGATCATCATTGATCGGTGACCAACTGCAGCTTGGTATTCGTGCAAAGCACGTTCTCTTAGTCGAACTATTGAGAGATTAGATTCTTAATTGTACAATATATTATAAAACATATATTATGAAACACAAACTTGTTATGATTATCTTTCCGTAGCACTTGATTTCTAAAAAGTGTAAGCTTAT